CCTTCGTTCATTTTTCTTTTTTTTTTTTTTAATTTAATCTCTTATATTTTAATATTGGAAACTATCAGTTATTAGTATTCCGCATGGTCGGAAAAATGACCATTCATTGTTAAAAACAAAATCATTGTTTTACACTTTCCTCCGACAACAGTTGTCAAATATTAAACAATGATAAGAATAATATTTGAATAAGGTATCAAATATTTTCCTTTAGCATTTCTCAATATTTCTTAACGTAGTTCAAAAATTTATTTGACATTTAGTAAGTTAATGAAAATTTATAGAAGAGAAAATTTTTTATTTTCTTTCTAATAGGTAGAATTTGTGAGTTATCTTCTCTACATGATTTTTTTTTTAAATCTAAATTTCTATCAATTAAATAAATTTCATGTTAGTAAGTTTATTATTTTCTAATTTTAACATTCACCCACGATAAGAATTAAATTGATAAAATATTAAAATATATAAGACAAAATTTTTTTAAAAATTAGAGTTAATTTGGAAAAAAAATTGAAACAAAAATTAAAATTTTTATTAGTAAAACATATGGGGGTGGGATCAAATTCACACCCTATTGATTAGAAATATAGATCAATTATCGTTGAACTATATTCATTTTGACAACAACTAAAGTTTAATTGAAACTTGTAATAGTATAAATTAAATTAAAAAAAATACTCCAACAAATATTAATGGAAACTTTTTAAACAACAGATAATAGTGATTAAACTGAAAAACAACAAATATTCAAAACCAAACATTTTTTTACCTGCTTCTAATTTGGGGTTTATTTATTTTCTATACATACACTAAAGTTTAGGAACTTAAGCATTATATACGTTCAAAGAGTAAATCATTACATACAAAATTTCAAGAACCAAATCGTTACATATTAAAATTTAAGGATTAAATCGTTAATATTGTTGTACTGAAGTTCAAAAGTTCCAGGACTAAATTTTTCTTCAACTAAAGAAGATAAATTGTTATAATATAAAGTTTAAATACTAAATCATTACTTTATACTTTTGATAACCATCTTGTTTCTTCTTTTTTAAAGCTTACCCCACTACGTCCACCAATGTATTTCTTTGTCTTGTACCAACTTTTTAAAAATGTTTTTAAAATTTAATCTAAAATCAAAAGAAATAGTTTCCAAAAACTTGTTTTTACTTTTGTCTCCAAGGATGGTGCAGTGCTAAGTGTTTGGAGGCTCGAGGTACACCTATCTTAAAGTTTCAGGTTCGAGCCGAGAACGAAATTGTTATTAAAGAGGCTTAGGAACCACTGAAATTGCTTAAAAGAAAACTTTCCACCTAATTTTTTTAGCAATTTTTTAGGATTTCCTTCCCAAAGACAATATAGAAAAGGAAAGCAATTCATCCCCACCACCTACCTTTTGAGCAATTTCTAGCATCCTTCCCATGCATAAATTCACTCTTCCTTACTGCTAATTTGACCTAATTTACCTTTAAAAAACTTGAAAATATGTTGGCCCAAAATAATAGCAAATCCAATACAAATTAAAAAGTTTTGTAAATATGACAAAATTAAAAAAAAAAAACTCATCGCACCTATAAGTTTTTATTAGTGATAGACGTGTATTCGTATCTATTAATATCTGTCACAGACAAAATTGATATATTTGCAAAATCTTATTCCTTGTGCTTGTCTTCGTTTCTCTTTCTAGAGTTTTGTTTTTAGTTTTGGTGATTGAGAGTGCACAATTAGGCAGGGATTAAAAGGGTCGTTTTCGGAATTCGACATCCTTTGCAACATCTAAGAGGAAATGCTGTGAGGGCTTTAAGAAGCCAAGGAGTTCAGGTTGATGTTCTTGGGGAGGACCTCAAGAGCAGAGCCATTGAGGTAAAATTTATAGGAATAGGCCTTCTCTTCTCCCCATCCATCACTTCTTATATGGAGTGTCGATTTGTGTCGTAGGAAGCTCGAAAAGCATGCCTCCTCGTTAACGCTCCGTTGATATGTAAAGCCGCTTCTCGAGTCCCCTTCTCCGTGCTTAAATACGCCATGACCCTTGATGGTTAGTATTGCAGTTTCGTCGCTCTTTTGATCTTGAGAGGAATAGAATGGCTTATCCTCATTGAAGCGCTTTTGTTGCAACTAACAGGGAAAATTGCTGCAAGTTCTGGTGATTCAGCATGGATTAGTAGCATTGCGTCTAGACAACGAGTTTTCGAATTACGGGGAAGAAGCGATGCTGTTATAGTAGGAGGCAATACCGTACGTAGGGATGGTAAGTTTTTGCCATATTTTCTATTACGCCGAGTTTTGTAATAGTGTTGTGCTTCAATGTCGATCCCACAATATCGTCCTCTGCATTAGATCCCGAACTAGCTGCAAGACATGGAGGTGGACATACTCCTCTTCGTGTGGTGATGTCAAGGACTCTTGATCTTCCTGAAGAAGCAAAGATTTGGGACACGAGTGGTATGCCAACCATGGTTGTGACCCAAAGGGGTGCTAGAAGGAGTTTCCAGAAACTTCTTGCATTGAAAGGAGTTGAAGTTGTCGAGTTCGATAACCTAAACCCTCGAGATGTAATGGAATACTTTCACGATCGCGGGTATCTTTCGGTTTTGTGGGAGTGTGGAGGAACGCTTGCAGCCTCAGCCATTGGATGTGGAATAGTACATAAGGTTCTCATCACTTATCACAGTTTCATTCTTTTTCTACTGGTAATATTTGATCAGATTGAAAGTTTGAAGGTGTGATCGTAACACCTCTTATAGTTCGTGAGTGGTTTTTGCAATTTCTCCGTCATCGATACCTAATGCTGTAGATGATTTTTAATTCAGGTAGTTGCAGTTGTTGCTCCTAAGATTATTGGGGGCTGGAATGCACCATCTCCAGTTGGTGAACTTGGGATGGTTGAGATGTCTCAAGCTTTGGAACTAATTGATGTTCAATATGAGAAGGTTACTTTATAATTTGTTTTGTTAATTGTTCTCACAATTTTTGGGAGTTACCTGTAATTAATTATATGGAATGATATTTCTGATCTTGTTCCCATTTCAATTATGGCTCCATAGGTTGGGGAGGACATGCTAATAAGTGGATTTCTTCATCCCATATCGGATGTTACTCCAGTCATCCCATCACGAGACGAAACCCTTGCAGCTGACCCGACAGTCGCTCCCTGCGAGCCCAGTATAATATCATTTTACAATACATGGGATCATTATGGCGCTCTTTCAAACTTTTCACCGCATGCAATTCATATCGCTAATGAAAATGGCAATTATGACACTTGGATGACTGTAGAGCACTATTATCAGGTACGTTCGTAAATTGCTCACTCATGTTGTCTCCTCAAGTTTTGGTGCCTAACCTTGCTTTAATGTAGTATAGGCTCACAAATTTGTTGGAGTTGACGATCCTTTAGCTCGAGATTTTGTGGAAAAAATAAAATCAACAAGAACTCCAGAGGAAGCATTCAAGATTGCTAGGTTATTGCGGAAGCAACGCCCTGATTTGGTATGCTGGCTCTTATTTTCTTCCCTACCTCTCAATGAAAGCTCTATTTCTTATTAAAAAAAAAAATCTTTGACAAAACTCTCAATTTTCTTTGCAGGTGAGATCTGATTGGGATACAGCCAAGCTCGATGTTATGTACCGAGCATTGAAATGCAAATTTACGAGTCATCCTAGTTTAAAATCCATGCTGCTATCTACTGCTGGATGTGTTCTAGTTGAAGCATCGCCACATGATCTTATATGGGGTGGAGGCCGATATGGAGAAGGTCTAAACTACCTCGGGAGGCTGTTGATGCAATTGAGAGCCGAGCTCCTTGGTCATTCGTCGAAACCGAGCGGGGACGACCCAGAACTCAATTGAGGGAAAGAGAGAGAATAATCAATAATCACTTCAGCTAAAGGTAATAATATTATGGCTAAAAGGAGCAATTTGCCCATGTTTGCTGAAGTGATATAAATAAGTCGAACTTTTTAAGGTTTGACCCGAAAATAATGACATGCTGCTGCTGCTGCTTATTGTAATTCACATTTTACAAATGAAATAAAAGAAGCAATCTGCAGATTTGGAATACGCCAACCTTTGTTGTTGGTCTTTTATTCTCATAGTTTTATGTGACACATAATGAATAATTAACTCATTTGCATCTATAAAGTCCATAGTTCAATATCCTATCCTGCACTGTTGAACTAAAAAAGAAAGCAAAAAAGAGGTCAAAAAAGAAAGCAAAAAAGAGGTTATATGAGACGACAATTTTGGCTTGGAAGGGAGGGAATGGTTCGAGTACGGTTCTTTTCAAAAAAAGATGTTAAGTACTTAACTATCATGGGTTGATACATTGGTTCAAAGAAGCGAAGATCAATTCTAAAGAATTTAGAGGGAATGAGATTAAACCAAAGTGGTTACCTACCTAGAATTTAATATCGTATGAGTTTTCTTTTCAATCAAATATAGTAGGTCAGACGGTTGTTTCATGAGACTAGTCGAGATGCACATAACTTGGCAAGGATATCAAAGGAAAAAAATGTTTAGTATTTAGATACATATCTATTGTATGTATAGAGGAAGATACTGAAATGCTACACAAAGTCTTGTCGTCTTTTATCTTTTCCATACATTATGTATCAAAGTGTCTCGACAACTCTTTTGTTTTTTTTTTCTTTTTTTTTTAAATTAGACTTATAAACACTACTTCCACCACTACTTCCACCCATGTAGTCTTTTGTGAGAAAAAATTAGTGGAAAAAAAATCTATATGAAGAGAATTTTGAAAGAGATAGCGATTGTATGCTCGAATGTTTAAAGCAATCCTAAGCTAGAGATAGAGAATGAATTAGATGGGCGATTTTGTGGTTGATGTGGAATGAAAGGAATGCTAAAATTTTCTTAGATAAGTCAAATTATTTTGAATACTTTTGCGATCTCGTATAGTTTACTACCTCTGGTTGGAGTGCTTAATACAAGTTCTTTAGGAACTACTAACCTACGCTATCGATCTAAATTGGAGTGCTTTTATGTAATACCTCCCCTCCTTCAAGAAGAGACACCCTTGTCTCTTGGTCCTTTACGATTGCTTTCACCCCATTGGGCTTTTTGAATGAAGGTTGATATGTTTCTAAAAAAGAAAAAAAAATGTTGTGTTTTGGTCGTGATATGTGCGATGCAATTTGGTTAAAATTATGGAATAGAAAAAAGTTGGTCTAAAGGCTAATTAGTCCCTATACTTTCGACTTTGATTTATTTCTTCTAAACTTTTGTTCATTCAATTCATATATTTTCAAAACATCCGTTTTCGTTCTTCTACTTTTTAAAAGTGACTATTTTGGTCCTTATTTGCAAAAGTTTAACATAAATTTTATATACGATGAAAACTCTTTTAATACAAATTTATGGTTACATTTCAAGAGATTTAGTAAATGAAATGTCTATCTTCATATCTACTATCTTCTATAATGTTACATATAGTAACATGAAGTTAAAAATAATTCACAAGTTTATGTACGTTAACTCGTTCATATACAAATTTCTAGCTGCAAGATAAAAGAGCAATTTTCTACACAAACTACAGCATAGGCAGATAATCCTTAAACAGCAATCTGTGGAGCAAAAAGACTACCTTCAAGACATCCTTACCTCCTCCTTGGAGTTTAAATATTTGTCTCCGACGCCATAACGTTCGAGTTCGAATCGAGGAAGAGGATCACAACAGCACAGTCATCAATGTTTGAATAAGGAAATTTGCATCTCCATGCTTTGGTTGCAGACTCAACCAACGATCGGGCTGCAGAACGCACTGGGGCTGATGCTACAATGTCCACCACCTCTTTGTTTGAGAGAACATCCCAAATCTGAGAAGTGTTGAATCAATCTTTAGATATAAAGAAAGTTGTCATCAAATGTGTCTAGTTGAGTAGGAGTTAAGTAGTAGTCATTATCATACTCCGTCTGTGGCTAAAACTATGAACTCATCCTTCTCTGTAAGAAATCGATATGATAGTTCAGGAACAGAAATTAAACCGAAATCCTTGAGGCAGAAGTCCCCAAATGATCGAGCCATGGCCAGCCCGGGGGAATCGTTGTTCGGAAGCCATACTCTAGCAACTTCTGGTTCATCTCGATGAGCAAATACCCGACCTTTGCATTTGAGAATTCTCTCAGCTTCCGCTGTAGGGTCAAGTTAACAAAGAAGCAATCAGAAACAGATTTCAGCAAGAAGTTAATGAGTGAAATTTCTTAGGTCCTATGTAAATGAGTAAACTAGTTATCATCTTAAGTTTTCCTCTTTATGATTGCCTTCTGAAGAACAAGATCCATTAGACTGCTAGATAATCACTCTAGATTAATTTAGACAGGTGATAATGAAGAGACAAGAAGGAATACATTGTTGAAAATTTTTAAATGAATTTGTAAAACCTTACCTTATACTAATGATAATCTCTCTTTAAATACAAATGACATAATAAAATGCAACTAATTGGACTCAAAATATCAAATTAACTAATCAGGCCACATAATTCATGTCAGTAAGATCCAGCACATCATTTTACTACTTATAGTTGTATGTCCCAAGGAATAATTTCCTTGATTTCTTGAAAGTTTGTTGCATGAAAACAAATATTTTAACGTCAACCAGTGGTTTTGTCCATTCGTGGATGCATAAATATGCGGAATGCGAGAGAGACCTGGAACGTCTGGCTTGAGATCTATGGTCAACTGAACTGCAAGGAGAGAATTATCCTTATCTCTGGTACCCAGCACAGCTCTGGAGTCCCCAACATTTCCAATAACAAGATCTCGACCCTAAAAACACGGTACATTACAAGTATGTTAAGAATGACGTGTAGAAAATCAAAACGAAAATGTTGTAGAGAACTGCAGTAATGACAATACCTGCTTAACAAGAGCTACTGCTGTTGTCCCACTACAGAAGCAATCAATACTTGGTTGCATTCTGAGTTCTCCATCCATTATCTTAAAAGCCTTCAGAAACGATTCCTTCAGTTTTTGAGAGATTTCAGGGTGATTGCCAGTTCCCTTGCGATCGATAGGGGAACTAGATTCCTCCAAAACAGTTCCTAAGGCAGAATCTTCATAGTTTACACGTTCTGTTTTGCAACTGAGCTCTTTTGAAATACCATCATTGCTTGAATTAGCTTCCCAATGTGCAGTCAGCTTCAGAGGAAGAGAATCCCTCACTCTTTTTGCAACCAGATGACCATTAGGACCATGACCATCGAAAACTCCACAGAAGAAAGTATCGGTTCTGGAGCCAAAATTCTGAAATTCATGATCTGGTTAGTGATTAAACCCCTTCTATGACAAGCCATCTATTTGTATTATCTGAAAGTTGCATTTTCAGGCTACAATTTGAAGCAAAACAAATAATTTAAAGAGCCCTTGCTTTGACAAGGGAAGGTCAAAAAAATGGTACACAAAAAATCAACATAAGTTGGACAATCCAGAAAGGTATAAGTTATAGTTATCATAACCACTAACTAGCATCAAAACAAGTCACAACTCTCAAGAATATATAGGTATAAGATCTATAGAAGTTCTTAATTTTCCGCTTTTATAATCTAATTGTACTCATGTAGCAACATCTAAGCTTCTTAAAGTTTTTTACATGTCAGTCAATTAGTTAGAACATTTTTTCTCTCCCTCCATCGTAGGAGTTCAAAGAAAAGGGGAAACTAACACATTAGCATTAGTTGGTTAAAAAACACAGCAAACTCAAAGCACCAAGAAAAAAATCATACTACATCAATATGAAACTATTGAACAACCAATTAGATCACTCAATAGGGACCAACATGATCTCGAAATGAAATATGTTAGAACACAATAAAGAGCTGACCTCCCATACAATCATGGCATCTTGGTTCATCCCTTTCTTGCCCTGTTGAGTATGAAGAGAGGCGACTTCAGTCGATCCATTCAAGAACATCCTACCAGGAATTCTATGCACTGTTGCTTCACTCTGCGGCTCGAGCACAGAATTCTCAGACTTCAGCTCAATTTCTGAGTGTTTCTCTTTCCTTGCTACCAACACAGGAGATACAGGAGCACCAGGAATGGCCCTCATACCTCCTGTAGACAAGCAGGACCCCATTCTGGTGACTCTCAAAATGCTTGAATATGTAATATCCCACACCAGCAAATAGAATCAAACTTATTGACCCTTTATCTCTGTATTTCAATCCTTCACAAAAAGCTTGGCCTCAAGCCATGACAGAAATTTTAAGTACTCTAAATTTTGCCTCTGTAGAAATTTGAATATCCCTGTGTAGAATATTGACAGCTCTGTTCGATGCGCTGTTCCAATCACACGCGCAACAGAAAAGAGCATACGCATATTGCCAAATCAATCGCCAAAAAGACAATTAGGTTTCCAGATTCAGAAATCAATATGTTTCGAGAGGGCACACTGCCCCACCAACGACCGAAAAGGCCAAAATCCACAACTTAATCGAAACGTAACTATTTCACCCCCAAAAGATTTATCGTCCATCTCTTGAAAGAAAACTTCCAGTCAACTGTGGTTCAACATCGCGATCAGTCCAATAAACAGACCCCAAAAAAAAGAAAAAAGAATCCCTCTCCTCCCAGATCGGAAAAACGATCAGCCGTCGAGAAATTCGATTAGCAGCAGTAGGAATATTATTGCAGATTGATTCAGGATTTAGACAGTGAGTTTTACATGAAAAGATGTTCTAAATATGAAAACACAAAGGTGATTGAGCCTGAAAAACGATCGGAAGATGCAACAACCAAAGCAGATGATTTCGAAGTAGAGAGTAGAGAGAGACGTTGAAGAAACCTGTTGCCTGTAGACAAGTTTGACTTGGAAAGATGACGGAGAAATGAAGCCAATTAATGGCGTCGCTAATCGGAAAGGAGAAGAAAAGCATAGGAAAAGGATAAATTTTTACCAAGTCTGAATTTTGATATGGGGTTAAAAAGCTCATGCTTAAATTCTCACTCCATGTATAACTTACAAGTTTTTAAGTATTTTGAATAGGTCAAAATTTCAAATTGCTGCATTTTTTTATAGACCAAAAAAAAACGTGGCGAATTAAAATATCTCAGTAGTAAGAGGAAATAAAATAAAAGCAAAAGTGATTTTCATACTAGCGGAACTTCTCAAATGGCTGCATATTCGTGGACAAGCACAACGTAGCAAACTGAAACATTTTAATAGCGAGAGAAAATGAAAGTAAAAATGATTCCAGTAGTAACGACAAACGAGATGGGAACAGTCTAAACCGTGAAAACGAACAATACAAGCGTCTCGTTGCTAAGCAAAATGGTGGAGTGTTGCTTCTCAGATAGCGAAAGTCAAAGCAGCCAAAAGCATAGCATTAGGTACATCGAATCCATGTAAATCAACAAGCATCGTCTCAATTACAAATTTTAAATTATAAGAATTAAATAGACTACATCAATTTAATATTACATATTAAAGTTGGTAACTGAATTATTACTCAAAAGGAATCAAAATGGAGGGATGAGAATCAAAAATTGCCAAAATTTTAAAATGGAATCCATTTATAGATTTCGTAGAATAAATTTGGGTATGACACTTCTAAAAAAATGGTAATCTCATCGACCTTTACTTTTATCTTATTCTTGGGCTCAATGTAATTTTATTACCTCTCTCATTTTTCTTCTAATAAAAAAAGAATCATACCAATTTGTTTTACTATATGTGATTTCTTTAAAATTAAAATTTTCTATTTAGTTTTTAAACGTTTACTTTTCTTTTTATAGTTCAAATATTTAATTTTAATTAGCCATTATTTAGTTCGTCAAAATATAAAATTGTTATTAAATAACATATTAAAATAAATTCAATCTATACTTTTCTTTAATAAAAAATATATTGACTTTTTTAGTTGACATAAACTTATAATAAAATATTACAAACTTATATGTAGCTTAACAGTTAGTTAATTTTACTTAGTTGTTATTAATTAATATCAATTAAATTGTTAAAATGTAATTAATCATTATTAACTATCACAACAATAAATTTGAATAATATTTTTCTATAAAAAATTGTTCTTTTAATTAAAAAAAACTTTATTATTTTTTTAGTGAGTGTAGTTTTATTTTAGTTAGGTATTATTTGTTAATATAATATCAAATAAATTGTTAAAATACAGTTCAGTATTGTTAAATACCATAACAATAAAATTCAAGAAAGATTTTACGTTAATAATTGTTATTCTATTCAAATTTATTTTGACCTTTTTAATTTCTAATTTTATTTTAATTATTTATTATTTATTAAAATCAAAATAAATTATTGAAATTAAAAACATATTATTACAAAGTAATAAATTAAAATTCATTATTGATTATTGTTATTTTAATAAAAAAAAGTATATTGACATATTATTCAGTTACAGCATTTTAAATTATGCAGAAGTATAAAGATGAGTATTCTATTACAGTATTAATTATAATATGTCTTATTCCTATTTCCATTTCAGACATTACTGAGCAAAATTGCGTCGATAGATTTTTTATTATGATATCAGACAATTTGTAGTAAATAACATAAATAAAGAATAACATTTTAATTTCGATTAATTTTCATTTTTTTTATGAATTTTCATTTTGATTTATAATAAGTAAACGAGGCCATAAAGATCAAACTTGTTTTTAACCTTGATTAAATTATGGGCTACATTAACATTCATGTTTAATTTTCTTCTCATGGTCTTTTATTTATTTATTAAATTTCTAAAATTATTTGTGTCATTTATTACTCGATATTAATATGTTTAGATGATACGTTTTATCTATTTCTTTTTTCTTTTAGAAATGAGTGAGAGGATGAGTCGATATCCAAAATAACATTTGCAATATAAAAAAATTTTCATTTGCAATAGAAAAAAAATTGTTAACACCAAATGCCACACAAATGTTTTAGGAGATTTAACCGATCAATAAAGACGAAATTAAAACTTTTGAAATCATGATATTAAGATTATAATTTTAACTTCAATTATAAATTTAATCTATGTAATATGAATATATCGTGTCGGTAAATATTCTATATACTTTTAAAAGTTTCAGTCCCATATTTGAATTTTGAATTTTGAATTATGTTGTTATTTGATCTATATGTTTTTTTTAGTACAACGTGGGAGGGTTAGAGATCGAACTCACAACCTCTTGATTGGAGATATATGTCAATTACTATTGAGCTATGTTCGCTTGGACTATTTGATCGGTATATTGTAAACTCAATTAATGAAATGTTTATATGCACGTTTTGATGGATATTTTGATTGAGTCAACATGGTAACAAATACACAACCTATTAGGTGTGTCCAGGTTCATTAATGATGGTATAAAAGGATGTAATACAAAGTTTATATATATATATTTACATATATATGTAACTTAATGATCTTTTTTAAAATTGAAAAACACACAAACTTGAATAAATGTTCACTATCATCTCTTTCAAACATGACTAGCTAACTTAAGCGTCGATCCTTTTGCCAACCTAAGCATGGATGTTTTTGCCAACCTAAGCATGGATAACTAGTTAAAGCATATATCCTCGATTTAACGGTGTGAGATTTGAATCCCTACTCCATATATTGTTGAACTAGAAAAAAGGCATTGATGTCTTTTTGGTCAACGCTATATTATTACCCAAAAACTCTCAAATTGTGTTACTTGCTAAGAGCTTGTTGATAACGATTTATGTTTTTTGTTTTTCTATTTTTTGTTTTTAGAAAACAAAAATCATATCCCAGAAATCGAAATGTAAGAATTGTGTGTTAGGAGTTCAGCAAAAATCGAAATGGAAACATATATACCTCTACTTAAAGAAATCAACGGAAATCGAACAATATCAGAACGAATGAACGAACGGAAATCAGATGAAAATCGAAATTTGGTAAACATTGTAGCTCCTTGCTAGTTGGATGAGAATCGAACGAACGAAAATGGTAGTTGGGGATGACATTCTTGACGAAAATCGAACGGAAATCAAACGATGTTTGGGCTGGAAATCAGAAGCTCGAAAGTTGGATGAGAATCGAACGAACGAAAATGATTTGTGGATAACTTTCTTGATGGAAATTGAATGAAAATAGAACAGAAATCAGAGTGAAAATTGAAAAGTTAGGTTTTGTTTTGATGGTTTGAATGAAAAAGTGGTGGTGAAGGATGAATGTTGAACGTACGAAAATGATGAAATTTGAAAAATTAGGTTTTCTTTTAGTTTGGGCTACCATCTTTGGGCTTTTGCATGTTAATATTGGGCTTGCAGGGTAATTAGGACTTTTAACAATGTGGGCCTCCGTGGTAAAAAATTGCTATATTTGAAATTTTAGAATGTGAGTGCTATTTTATTGATTTTATGTAATCTTTTTGCCATTTTTACAAGCATCCCTATAAATTATATCTATTATTGAAAATTTATTATTTACAAGTATAAATAATTAGTTTTAAAAAATAATTAATATTATATTCCTAATTAAGTAAAATAGTTAACAAAATATATATTTTATTATTTAAAAATGGAATCGAGAAGGGGTTGAGGCAATGTGAAAAATGCATTCCTTGTTCTTGAAGCGGGTACCCAACCCTACACGGATTTTCGTCATCCCTAGACTCTAATGTATGGGCATAAAAAGTAAAAGTTTAAAGAAATAAAAAGAATATTTTAAAGAGAAATTTAACCATTAAATGTAAGAGTTTGACCATTTTACTTATGAAAATGTTGATGTTGATGGAAATATCGAAAAATGATTTTTTCCTTTAATGAAGATTGATGAAAATTTTTTGAATATGTAAAGTAAACTTAATTGTAAACTTTTGACTACTTTTTTAGGGTTTTTCATAATAGGATTCATTTAGAAATGAGATAATTACCGACTTGGTTTCCAAACACATTTCTAAATTCTAATTAACTCGTATCTGTTTACTTTTTACCTACTTCTCTTTTCAAATTTGAATTTACATATTTTTCAAACACATTTTCAACTCACTCATCAATCCAACTTTCCAATCAAATTTACACAATTTTCAAACACCCCAACCTCGTGATTATGTCATTCATCCAAATTATCTACCAATGGTATTCATATGTACTTCATATTCTACTCATTTGAGCAACTACCTTCAAAACTTTCAGTCTAGGATGATCGGGGAGAACTATTGTAATTTATATCAAAGTTATCAAGATAGTGCACTAGATCCTCCGAGATCATTTCTTGGTATTAATTAAGTTACCTATTCTACTTCATGTTTCATCACTATTTGTATATAATAATATTTTATTTTTAAAAAATTCTAAGATTATTTATATATGTCAATATTTCACATATATTGTTCAATTGTGTAAGTAAGGATTAGATTGGATTAGAAATTATCAATAAAGTAAATTCCAAATCTTATTAGTTATACTTTATACAGTATTAAAATTCAAATGTTTCATTGAAAAGACTAAAATTACAATCATCGAGGTTGTGAGAAATTATAGACTATAGTGGCATAGTAAGAAGATGATGAAAATAAAATAACTTTAAAGAAGAAAAGGGAAAAAAAAGACACGTCGACATTTGAGTCGACATTTCAACATGTCCACGACATGGGGGTAAAATCGACTTTTCCCCCCTATGTCGATGTCGACATGCTCGACACGTCGACATGTCCAGCGACATGTCGACATGTCTCTCCACATTTTGAACCCTAGTGAGATGTTAGAAATATATATATGAAAATTTGATAGAGAGAGTAATCAAATATATGTATATATAGATGAAAATTTGAGAGAGAGAATAATATTAAATAGGGAAAAATACACTCTTGGTCTGGAGCAGGTGTCTATTTAGTCCCTGAAGTTCAAAATGGATACTTTTGGTCCCTGAGATTTGGATTTGGTATCTATATAGTTCATGAAGTTTTAAAATG